TGAAATATGAGACAGCAAAACTTACTGACCAGTAGAACGGGGTTTCATTGGCGTATACAAGGCCGACTTGTTGGTTGGGCTGGTTGAGGACCTTTTTGAGGACAGTCATGGTGTATGGGTACTATGGAGCTGGCAGTTAGCATCCTACGGGTGCGGATGTTTCGGCCAGTTGGGACTCACAAAAAAGCCTCCACCATCGTCAACAACTCAGAACTCAGCATTAGCGCCCTCTACAGGTCGGTGGGAGGGGGGAGGGGTTCAAAAAGCATTTCTTTTCCCTTTCAATCTCAGACTCACCTACGATACCGCGGGGTGGCACAAATGCCCAGCCCATAACCACTTGGGCTAGATTTGTCGTCAATGTCAGCCATAGAAGCATGCTTGTGAATCTTGCGAAAAGCATGGTTCGGCGTGCTCAACGGGCAGAAGGGGTATAGATTTTAAAGAGAGGGTGGCGGTGGGGAAGAAGCAACACAACGGTTTACAGTAGCGCCAGCAGGCCGGCGTGCCTCGGAGGAAGCACACAAGTCGCTGTCTATCGCATGGCAGTGCAATATCAATCAGTGGGAGGCGCCCGTAAGAGCACGACAAACCCGTCAACCTCAACATTTGATAAGGAACTACGGGTGGCGCTGGATGTATGCATTTAGCCGCCGCCGAGGTTGTGCCGGTGTGGCTGAGAAGCATGCACAGCACGGGCTGTCTATATATGTCTAAGATCGCCTCAACGGACATAAGCACAACTCGGACCGTGCGAATCAAGGCACTATGCCCGAGTTGGTCTAAGGGGACGCACTCAAGCGACAAGCTTGCTCACTTCGGGTTTATTTGCGTTCAGCGTTTGCTGGCGCGTGTTCGAATCACGCTGGTGTCACTTCTTTTTGTGTGCTCGCTGATACTCATGCGCAAACCATGACTTAGTACTTGGGTTCATGACAAGGGTTCGGGGATGTGATATTACTGGAGGAACAAAACATTTCGAGGATTGATTTACAGGAGTCTGCGGTCTACGGTCACAACACTAATGCCGTGGGGGTGCCAGGGAAGACTTTGCTCACATCAGTGGGGATAGTCGGAAATAAGTGAGGGACTTGCTGGTTGTAACGGTGGCCTATCCTAGGCCAGCCCCTCTCGACTTGCTCACGTCAAGCGCGAGTGCCTGGTCAATTCTCGACTGGTGAGAGCGCAGCGCTAGTACCGGGCGTGTTCGTGATATAGTTGCCTCGCACAGTCCTGTGAGCTCGCACCCTGTCCCTCACTCGCGCGGACGCCGTGGCGCCAGGACAGGAGCATCGAGCTCGACGACCTATCTGCTTCTTGAGGACTTATGCGAAGCTAGCTACCTGTGGGGAAGGTTAAAATCATGGGAATTGATAGACTAGACATAGATAGACCTCTCTGGGAGCCGCTGGATGCTGAGAGGGCCGTCGTGCGCATCGAAAGCGCCCGGCTGGGCACACTGATAGAAGATGTCGGTATTGAGCTCGTTGCTTGGTGAGGAACGCTGACTTGTGGGCAAGACCCACGAGGGCCACGGTGTTACAAGGCAGAGTAGAGACAGAGTAGTGAAGCACGACGCCTGGGATGGAGGGGCAAGTGGGGGTGGTGGTTGAGAGCAAGTCACTGGCTAGCAGCGGCCGACTTTATACCCCCTGAGCACGACCGAATTGTAAACGCTCGGCTCATGGCAGAACGCTCATCGTGCATCCCGCCGAGCGGAGTTGGACCAAAGCCGGCAGTCTATACAAAGCCTGTGCTTTGCAAGCTTCTCAGCCACGCCGACACAACCTCGGCGGCGGCTGAATGTGTATATCAAGCGCCACCAACAATTCCTCATCAAATGTTGGGGTTGACGCGCTCTTACAGGCGCCTTCCACTACTTATTGATATTGCACTGCCATGTGATAGACGGCGACTTGTGTGCTTCCTCCGAGGTACGCCGGTCTGCCGGTACTGCTGTACAGTAAACCGTTGTTCTGCTTCTTCCCCTCCCCCACCCTCTCTTTAAAATCTATACCCTCCTGCGTTGGGCGCGCCCAACCATGCTGTTCGCAAACTTCACAAGCATAGCTCTATGGCTGATATTAACGACAAACCTAGCCCAAGTGGTTATGGGCTGGGCCTTTGGTTTGCCACCCCGCGGCATCATAGGTGAGTCTGAGATCGAAAGGCAAAAGAGATGCTTGTTGAACCCCTCCCACCGACTTGTAGAAGGTGCTAATGCTGAATTCCGAGTTGTTGACGATGGTGGAGGCTTTTTTGTGAGTCCCAACTGGCCGAAAACATCCGCACCCGTAAGATGCTAACTGCCAGCTCCATAGTACCCATACACCATGACTGTCCTCAAAAAGGTCCTCAACCAGCCCAACCAACAAGTCGGCCTTGTATACGCCAATGAAACCCCATTCTACTGGTCAGTAAGTTTTGCTGTCTCATATTTCAACTCGCCTATGATAGGGCCCCACATACAGGGACTGCAACCAACCTGCAGGGACGGTTCTCGAATTTCGCCTGGTTAGCAAAGCCAACGTCAACGTGGCCTCTAGCGGTAACATGACTGTGCGGGCGAGTCGAACCCTTATTCTTTGGTGTCACGCGAGCTGATTTGGTATCACCCTACTTAGCCAGGTGCTGAGGCTCTTGCGTCGAGCATAAGCGTTCAATCAGTGGCGGTACGATCAGAACTGATTGATCAAGAGCGACTCTAAGTTATTTGTTTTGTACCCAGTCGACGGCTTCGTTGTTCTCGCGCACGGCGACCGGCCAAGCGACTCAAACGGGGAGCAACGGCGATCCAAGTACTGGTGTGAGTTGCTCAGAATTATGCGCCACTTCAAGCTGACGAGCTTTTCAAGACGCCCTTGGGAGGTGGGGCCGAGGTGTCGTGAGTGAAAGACTGGAGCAAACTCGAACACAGCTGAGTTATCTTATGCAGGAAAGCAAAGGGGATTTCGACTGGTGCAGTCGTTGGAGTTGTGCGTGCCCCCGTTTCTTCTCCGAGACCCCAGCTAATGGCAACCTGCAGAGTATAGCCGGAGCCCTGCTCCTGATCACAGTGTTGCTCTTTCTGTGGTGTTTATGCCGTCGCAGGAACTCCAAGAGCACGCAAGAGGCAGCCCACCCCAGCGATAACATTACGCCTTTCATGCAGAATCAGCCCCACCAGTTAGTTCCCCCCACGGGTCATGTGAGCGCATATACGCACTCCTATGACGAACCTCCCGAATACTCGCCGCTTTCCGAGCCAACGAATACCCAATGGGGCCAGTCTAGTCCAACCGACTATTTAAGTACTTATGCAAGTACCAGCCCATTCTCGGAGCTGCGGACGACGGCCGAGATGTCGGAAAGGGACAATCGTCGCGGACCTGTTCGGAATGAGAAGCGGAGACATCTCCCTAGGGGCGTCGTATAACGCCAAGCGTTTTTGACTTGCTGATATTCCGTTCTGTGTTCGTCAGGGAAATATCCCTGTCGGCGACCTCTGGCTACAGCCAGAGGTATCCGTCGTATCCACCTGTCGCCTCCTGTCGACTTAAGGGGGGACAACTGGCCAGGTGCCGCCAAGGGGACTCTGTTCCCTGTTACCTGTCGCCAGCGTCACGTGGAGCGATCGCCAGCTGTAGCCAGCTGTAGCCGGGCCACATCCTCAACTAGCAGTGGCGATCACAAAGCATAGGAATTGCTAGAGCAAGCCTCACTATCGGATATAGCACAGGCACAAATCGAGTTTTAAAATGTATCATCTTTTTTCCCGCCCCACCCCACTTCCCTTTTGGCCCTGTTTTTACTGTAATCCCGATTTCTAAGCCTGTATGCTACTATTTGGAGCTGAATTAGTGAGGTGCCAGTGGGGAATCGAACGTGCTTACCAATTATAATCCGTTTGCGCGCAGCCGCTTGACTATTGTGCCGTGGTCTTGAATGCGCGGTGCTCGGATATACCTTGGTCTTCGGTCATCTGGTCAGCCAATCAACTCCGCTCTTCGTGCGTCATTCACGCTCTCTGCTGTTAAGGGCCGGCCTGGCGCGTTCGACTTGTGCCGTTGGGGGTGACCAGAGTAATTTGATACAGCCCCACAGTCATTTTTCCTCTCTCCGACAACAACCGACCAACCGTCTCAGTCTCCATCTCCCTACTTGTGCTACACGTCCCAGCCCCACCTACTGCTGTCCTTTCCTGCCATGCCGATGCCACTCAGCCACTAGCGTATATGACATTCTTGACCCCCGACACACTATCCGCCTGCCCTCCGCCCCTGCCTATGCTAACAACCACTCCGTACCTCATATGACGTGTACACCTACCACCATCATCTCAGCGCCGCATCGCTCATGATCACCCCCGAGAGCGTCCCGTATGAGTAGTCACTCAACCCCCCTGGGGCTGCTGCCCCCCTCACGAATGACGATACCGGCAACCAAACCACTCTGCATGGCTGCCCTCACGACCGACTAAGACTCCCCGCTCTGCCCAAATTACAACCTTTCAACTTGTCCCGGCCCCGCTTCTCACGTTCGCAACCAAACGGCAGCATGCATCTCCATGCCCCGCCCCCTGGTTAATGAGCAAAAGGCTCTGCTCGCTCGCCTGACGGTCTTCAGGCTATATGCACTCGGTGAGTTTTCGCCACATATCGAGACCTGCTAAAACCGTTGCACACTCGCTCGACCCTAACCGTATTCACGGCAACCTCTCACCTCGGAACAACCCACCCCGCCCGGTTTACGGCTCTAACAACCACACGCGGCACACTGCCCGTGCTGACAACCGATCTCCCCCTCTTGCCTCACCCACACCCCCTGATGTACCCTCTGGTACAATTTCAGCTCCGGTCTTTTCTCGAGTCACGGCTCAAGCACTAAACCATGTACAGGCGGGTCTTCTATATGTATCGTAGTATAGAGTGAATACATTTTTTGATTTACCTGTGCTGGTAACCCGTGTGGAGATATGGAGCAAATTGCTGCGTTTGCTACAAGGAAAATCTGAGCTTTATTGCGATTTGCAAAACGGTTCGGAGTCGGCGCTTATGGACGCTTCCCGAGAAAAAAAAAAGCCCCCGGCTGGTAAATCGACTGTATCTCCCCCGGCACTGATGTTAGAGAGATACAATGTATATAATTGGGATCGCAGCGCAGAGGGGCATCGGATGGTATAGGTATAATGCAGAATGGACAAGAGACAGAGATGCTCACCGTCTGGGATACAAAAGATAACTA